CATTATTCAAGAGAGTGTCTGGTCCCAGACATCCTGGGCTTAGTGAAAATGAACAGGAAGAATGCTGGTCAGTTCCATCTGGTCCTGGAATTTGCTGACACAAGAAGGGGTGTTTTTAGTTCACTCAGAGAGAAAAAGATTAATTCAGGTTTTTGGCCCTTATTGGGGCTCAATTGATCTTAAGTGATTATCATTTCCTCCTTTTGGTCAAAGGTAAGCCAAAGGCTTCACCTGTAGACCAAGAAAGGTGTGGGAAAAACCTTCCTCTTCCTCAGGGGATAGAAAGAGATGTCCACTTGGAACAGGCATCTTCAGATGATCCCAGAGTCCACATCCAGAAGTTGGCAGCTATGGGAGTAGTCACATAGACCTGATAGAGGCTCATAGAAGATGTATGAGTTGATAATTGAGAGAAAATAGCATAAGTCTTTAGTTAAAGGTACATAGAGATGGTTCAGTTTTCCAGCCACACAGGACTAGGTTCAAACAATACAACAAAGTTTTCTCATAATTCACAAAATCACATAATTACATTAAGTCAGGTACAGATTAAATTACTTAGAGGGTCACAAAGACTAGTTTTGAGAAAGAGATTTACATGTAACCAAGATAACCAAGAAAACTTAAACATGAATCATACAAAGCAACAATCATTATTACCAATGTTAATTAACATTAAATTCCTGGCTCATGTACAATAGGTTTAATTCATAGGCAGTTCAAAAAGGGAGTTCTGTTTCTCTGGTTTAGACTTAGAAGTTCCCAGATAATTTTGACTTAGTATGAATTAGTATAGTCACTTAAATTTGGTTCTTCATTTTTGATATCATCTGCTGCTTCTGTTCTTAACTATATCCTGTAACTGGTATAAGAATTGTTTAAAATGTGAAGATCCAACCATAAAATGAGCTCTCCTGTCTTTTAAAATTACCAGATACTTTAATAAAGGAGAAATAATTTCAGTTACTTTTTACCACTATCCTATACAATTTTTGGTAAAAATCCAAATTTGAGATCTTACCTAAACATGCTTAAAGCTTGGATTTCCATGATAGATACATTTTGGAAGCCAATCATATACATCTGTATATAATTCTTAGAGGAATCAGTATAATCCTGTTGCTTTTCTCAAAATTTGCTATCCTATTTAATTAGACATCTATCACATTACATCTTTGTCTTATTATTTTGTCTAAACATTTCCTCCTTAGGAGGATGATATTCCTATATTATTATTACTTGGCCATGAATGTAAGTTAAAATTGTAAGCTATTCATACTTGCATCATATTATGATAACTCAGAGATGTTCCAGAAGGACAAGGTCATATATCATATCAGAAGGAAAGAACTTCCTTAGCTCTATTTGATTCCAGGCATGAATCATATCTGATAGCCAATCATGTAGTCACTGGATGTTAAAAGCAGGGCTTAGGATTAATTAGGTGGGGAATTTTCCTTTTCAGAAAGGAAATAGTACAATTGGGAAATAGAGTCAGGAAGATCCTACCTAGGCTGTGTCCAAGGTCGTCCTCAAAACTCTTCCCAGACACAGACATCCACCTTTATCAGTTCTCAGCCTGCAGCACATGCCATCCTACTATTGGCTTCATGACAACTCAGACAATTATCCTGGTAATCAAAGCTCAAAACAATAGTAAATTTCTGTCCCATAAAGTCACATATCCTAGATAATAAGAATTTAATCTCACAATTGTAACAGTAAGAGACAGATCACAGAAAAATACTACTGCTCTCATAATTCCTTTAAACAATGGGAACATCTTTAGGTGAGTCTTCAGAAGTTTGTATAAATTTCTGCACGTGCTCGAATTCCAGATTGATAATAATATTAGATTTCCCATTAAGTTAACACAAAAGAGCTCATAAATTACTACTCTTCACTAACATAACTGCACTGGAATCCTAATCCTTAAACAAAACAAGAGGTTACTAACTTTAACCTCAGAAGTTGATGGATTTATGTCCTTGTTCACAAGCTGGTTTATTCTTCTCTAATTATACTCACTCTGAAAGAATGAGATACTTCAGGATTTGAATACTTATACATACAAGTTTAAACACTAATTTAACTCTTGCTTAGGCCATGAAATGACTACAGATTCAGATCAAAACAGCAAGATCTCTTCTGCTTTACAGCTCATTACAATAATTTAGCAGTAAGTTATCTTGCAAATGAAAATTTTGTAGGCCTCAAAAAAAAAACAAGATATCTTCTAAAAGTATTTCCCTTCTTTAAAAACAGTTTAAAATTTGTCCTGATGTTAAGAAGAATAATCACTAAACTTTTATGAAGAACATTTGTTAGAAATTTTTAAAGTGATAGATATCTTTCCTTTCCACCTTAAAGTAAAAATAAACCTTTAACACTGGAATTTATTAAAACTAAGTTGGTGTAAAATGTCCTTAAGTAACATAAATAACTTCCCAAAGTACTATAACAAACTAAATTCCTAGTTGTTACAGAATTCCTAGATATCACAAAGTTCCTTAGTCAAAAAGATATTTGTAATGGAGAAAAAAATTCAGTTTTTATAATGCATAAAGAACATACCCATTTAAATTAGCCTTATCACAATAAAAAATATTATCAAGCCTTTAAAAATTTACTCAGTATTTTTTTTTCTTTCCTTTGTCTTTAAATATATCACTGGAAGTTAGGAAAAACTATTACATTCTGGAATCTCACAAAGATAGTGAATGTGGTAATCCATAAATCTCCAAATTAACATATCTCAAGGATTCTCATTTACTCAGGAATTTCACAACACAGGAAACTTTTACACAGATTTGATAAGAATTTTAGGTGAAACTTCCTCTTAAAAGCAAATAAAACTTGGAAGTTTATTCTAACCCATTCATTCTCCCCTATTATTATTATTTTGGGAGGGGTGACAATTCTTGATCTAACATCTCTGGATTATAAGAGAAATTGCTTTTTTTTCAACAGTATAGCTGATACAATTTGTTTACCAGATTACACCATATAAAAAATCTCAGAAATATAACTATACCATAAACAATTATCAGGTATTTAAAACTTGAAAGGAACCAATTAATTACCTGCTTACAACCAAATATACCTCATTAAATGTTAACAGTTTTCAAATTATCCAATTTTCACATCCTTTTAAAAGACCAAACCATATGTACCATTTCTACCTCACAATGATCTCTCAAATTTTACAATCTAAGAAAGTTTTAGAAATACAATACAATTTAGAAACATACTAACAACACAAACAATAAACTTCAGATGACATCAGTTGCATTTCCAGATTATCACATATAGAAATTATTGATCTTATTACTCATGGTATTTAAAAACCACTTCAAAGTTATCAGGTATGGAACAATTACATTAAAGTAGAGAGATAATAATAATGTTGTGTAACATATGTCATTGTGTTAAGCACTTTGCAATCATATCATTTTGATCCCATAACAACAACCATTATTATTTTTCCTTTTACAGATCAGGAATCAGGGCAAACAGAGATAAAATGACTTGCCATAAATTCTGAAACTGGAACAGAGAAGTATGGGGCTTACCAAGAGTAGAAGTTGGCTTCTCACCTCATAATGCTATTGCCAGGCCTTCCAGGGGTTTAGGTGGCTGATGCCAGGGCTTTGCCAGTGGTGATAATTCTTGGTGGCAGGGCATATGGAATCTTATCATAGTTCTGACCTGTCCACTTCTCCCCACAGCTGCATAATTTACTGAGGCTGGTGCCGTTTGCAGCTGCTGGGGCAGGCTGGGCAGAATGTACTGAACCTGGACGTTAGTCCCAGGTCTTGCCTAGAAGAGTGGGCTGCAAGATGCCCAGGGGCATAGGGCTGATAGCAGACCATCACTGCTAGTCTGTGTTAGCTGCCCTCTCTCTCCTTTTGCCAGATAGGGAAGGCTGATTTAAGTTTTCCCTACAATTCTCCAGCATTCTCTTCTCTTTTTCAGTCCCCTTATTGAGATGCTTATCTCTGAGGGGGGGAGTGGGGAATGCTGAGGAATCAGGATTGGAAGGAGGTGTTTTAGCAGAGGGTGAGCTCCTGGAATCACCCCCAGTCTCAGAAGTTTTCTCCAACAGTCCCAAAATAACAACTTCCTAATTTCTTAATGATTAATCTCAAAACCTTTAGAATGTGCTAAGAAGTCTTTAGCTGTATCTAACTTTTCACTGTAGGTCTAGGCTGGCCAGGCCTGGACCCACAAGAAAGGAGTTTTACAATTTGTTGTTTCCCTAGCTGCAGCCCTTAGAAGTCTTTGGCTGCGTTTAAAATCTTATAAGGTACAGATACAGAGACACAAACCAACAGACAAATTGACAGGACAAATACAATACAAACATAATGACATAGTGCGCACTTAATGACAGAGACAAAGGGAATTAGAGGCTTGTTTAGAAAGCCCCCCCACATGAATTGGCTATTATTATTATTATTATTATTATTATTATTATTATTATTATTATTATTATTAATTATTCTGAAGAAAAGGAGTTGGAGAATTTGCGAGGATCCCAGACCTGATAGTGTAACTGGATCCTGTGAGCCTTCCTCAGAGTGCCCCTGAGATTGCAGATTTAAAGGGGCAAGTCCCAATAAAGTTAACTTTGGCGATCTGAGTCCCTGTCAGGACCATAGCCTTTAAGGGAAAGGGGAGGAGGAAGGGGATTATCCGGAGCCTGAGAAAGAGTGCTGAAGTGGCTTTGTTAAAAACATTCCCACTCCTGGTTAGATGTTTTGTTGGCCTTTAAACTTAATTTGGTTTTAAGATAAAGTAACTTTGACCGGTCAAAAGAACCCCATATTGTGACCAACATGATTTCGGGTTATCTTTACTTAATTGATATCAGTGCTAGCAGTACTTGTCATCACCAGATTGGCAATGGCTTGACATATAAGAGGCGCGGTCTTGTTAGCCGGATTTCTAGTTTTAGTTTCTGACTGACCCATAGCCAATTTGCCTAGATCGATCCTTACCAGAGGGGACCTGATACAGTAGCCAGAGTTTCTGAACTTTGACTGGATCCCCGACCCCCGAGCTAACTTGAAGGGAATTTTTTTTCGGACTTCAACCAAACTAGTAGGAGGTCCATGGAATCTGGGAACAGGAGAAACTTACCCGACCCAGTCAAGGTTAGGACTCCAGGAAAAAAACAGATCCTGAGGCGCCTGAGCCACTAAAGCGTTGCCGGGGTGGGCTGGAGTTTTCTCCCATTCCTTCAGTTCCAATCCAAAGTCACGGCACCCTTACTGTTAACCTGAAAGTCTGGTTAAAGAAGGCAAACAAGTTAGGTGATACATGATTATATAGTTTATTCCCTTTTAGCTAGCGAATCATGTTAACATGGAAGCCAGCATGTGATTCTGACTCCGAGATTAAGCAAAATGAGAGAGGTTTTATACAGTTGAGAGTGATCAAACTCAGGATGTCTGTGTTACAAAAAATACAGCCTCCATATGTTTGTTTAACATATAGCATGGGAAAGGAATTTTCTTAATTGAATAGGTTGTAAATACGATAAAATAGGAGAATGTAAAAGTGTCAATTAAAGTTATAGACCAAGATAAGAAGAGTCCCATTATTCAAGAGAGTGTCTGGTCCCAGACATCCTGGGCCTAGTGAAAATGAACAGGAAGAATGCTGGTCAGTTCCATCTGGTCCTGGAATTTGCTGACACAGGAAGGGGTGTTTTTAGTTCACTCAGAGAGAAAAAGAATAATTCAGGTTTTTGGCTCTATAGGGGCTCAATAGATCTTAAGTGATTATCATTGATAGTTAAAACAATTCTATGCATGAATACCTATCACTAAAACAGTTACAAAAACATATCCAAAGCTTGTCACTAAAAAGTAACTTAAACTTGTTACTAAAACATATCCAAAGCCTGTGTATTTAGATTTCTGTATGGATAAATATTTGTTAATATTCAAATGGATGTGAAAGAAGTTTAGTGATTTTTCCAGCATAAAATTTAAAATCTGTCATTCAGGACCATCATCATTACTTGGCCTTTTCCATTGTTTTCCCTGGCACAACAGCAGAAGTTTTAGGGCTGCTAATACAATTAGAGCTATCATGAGTCGTTTAAGTATGTTTCTTAACCCAATGAAATATTAGAAAGTCAATCATACATATTCTAGTTCTTAAGTGGAAGAAGTCTAACCTTGTTGCTATCCCCAAAGTGGTTTGCTATTCCATTAAAAAAATAAAACTTTTATATCTTTATCACATCACATCTTTATCCTATCTTCCCTTTGAGGAGGATATATATTGTCTTACCCTCCCTTTGAGTATATATATATATATATATATATATATATATATATATATATAATGAGATATATATATATATATCTCATTAAGAAAAAGATGTGATCCTATATGGGCCTAATCTTATACATGAATATTCATAAACAATACTCAGTATATACAAAGGCTTTTTCATTCATCATTTTATTTTTTTAAACACATCCTGATGTAAAAATCAAGTAAGAAGAAATTAAGAAAATATTGACATTCTGGAAATTTATACATAATCACAAATCAAACCATACTCCCTGTAAAGGATAATCTTTAACTACAAAAATTTAATCACAGCATTCAGATCAAAAGAGGAGCTAACCTCCAACAAATGAATATTCTAGGTATCATTATATTAGGTAGCTAGTGGCATAGTAGAACTACACAGGCTCTGGAGTCAGGAGGACCAGAGTTCAAATCCAACCTTCCTAGCTATGTGACCTTGGGCAAGTCACCTTAATCCTGTTTGCTTCAGTTTCCTCATCTGTGAAATGAGCTAGAGAAGGAAATGGCAAACTACTTCATTATCTTTGTCATGAAAACCCCAAATGGGGTCAACCACAACCGAAACGACTCAACAACAACAACAACGACAACAACACACTTCACCCCATACCATAGACCATCAGGGTAGCACAGTTTGACATAGTTTTGTGTTCTGGGATCAACTCAGCAATTATGGTGCTGCTGCAGTCTCTGCCATCCTGAGGAAACAAATACTAGAACCCAACTCAGCCTCCCTGAATCCAATGTAGCAGAGATGGCTATACAGGAAAGTGAGAAGCTTCCTATTCTTGTGGTGGCAGTGTGGTAGCATTCTGTGTTGTAACAGTGCTCAACCTGGGAACTAAAGAACAGAGTGAACTGGTATGGGATATCAGTCTTTGGGTGGGGATCTACCAGGTCTAAGGAAAAGGGCCTGGCATCTAACTGAGGACAGTTCTTTCCTCTTAGAAATCACTTAGGGCAGACACTAAAGCTGGTGAAAAGTGAATTACCTAGCATCAGAGGAGGCTGAGACAACTTTGAAGTTCACCTCTCAGGGGAATGGACTACAAAAGGGAAGTGAGCAATATGATTATCTATCTCTCTATCTCTTTGTCTGTCTGTCTATCTATCTATCTAAGGAAAGAGAGAGAAAGAGAGAAAGAAAGAGAGAGAGAGAGAGAGAAAGAGAGATTAAAATTACCAAAGATCTCAGGGAGGAAATTAAAAACACACAAACCAAAAGGGAAGTTACTAATCATAGATGGGAACAGGGCCTTGAGATCATCTATTAAATAATTATTCCAAGACAAAGAGAAATGAATCGACAACACCTGATAGAGGCAAAGAACCCAGTGGATCCCTAAGAAACATGGAACCACAACAGATTGTCCCAGAATGGTTCAGGAGATGAATAAAAATAAAAAAGAAGAATTTATGTATAGCAGAAGTGATTGCAGAAGAGAAAAACTTGAATCTATGATAGCAAGACTTACAAAGGAACAAAAGAGAGACAGCAATTGATTGAGAATGCACATGTGCATAAGTAAAGGACAACCCAAAAGAAAAGAAAGCAAAAAAAGATTAATTCAAAAAAAAAAAGACATCACCACACAAGCAAAACATGGGGATCTGAAAGAAACAATGCATGGAGACAACTCAAGCATCATAGGTCTTCCAGAGGAACATGACTAGTCAAAAAAAACTTGATCACTATAATACAAGAATAATAATACAAGAAATCATGCAAGAAAGAATACAAGAAAACTACCCAGAACTTCTGAACACATAAAATAAAATACCAATCAAAAGAATCCACAGATTGCCACCTGGGAAAAAACCCTATATTGTAAACTCCAAGACACATAGGGCTTAAATTTAATAATTCAAATGACAAATAGTAAAGCCTGCAGCAATCTAGAAAAAAGTCCTTCAAATATAAAGGAAAGGAAATTCAAATAACATTATATGATTATGCACCAAATGGATACTGTAGAAGGAAATGAAATTATATGTTCTGAAAAAGGAGAAAAGCTCAAGATGAAACACAAGGGGACAAACTCTGCAAACTTGAGCCACATCATTAATGGCAAATATGAACATCAATTAAAGAGATTATTTCTTTCTTATATTAATAATTGATTGTTAATATTGGAGAGATTCAGGATTTTTTCCCTTCCTATTTCCTCATTCTCTACTAGGTCAATTCAGGCCCTGAAGAATAGGGCTAATAATGAGATTGAATTTTAACATTCTTCTCAATCTTGTTCAGACCTCACCCAACCAGGGAAGTTAGTTCTGATTAAAGAGTAAAAAAGAATTTAATCTGGGAAAATTCCTGACCCATTGTGTTCTCCTCAGGCTTGGGTGGTGGTAGTGGTGGTGGTGGTGGAGGTGATGGTATAGATCCTTTGTCTAGATTGCCCAAGGCTGGGGGTAGTCTGGGAGTAAGAGCTACATAATCAAAGACATATTCTCACAGCCCTTCATTAGAATAGTCCCACCGTTCATTATAATATTCATTCTCATTAACTGTTAATCAATCAACATTGATTGCTCACTGTCAGGCATAACCATTTTTCCAAGGGCATATAAGCATCAGTAAACTACCATGATCTGTCTTTGGTTCAGGAGAGACGGCCCAATGACCATTCTGTTATTAATTACTCACTAATCATGATTAAAAAATGATTGATTACTCAGAAATTATGTCTCAAACTTTTCATATATCACACTACAAAGAAAATCAAATATAAACAAATTGCTTTTCAAACAGCCCAACAACAGAAATACAAGAAAGGTAAATAAATATAAAAATCAAAGAAGGCATAAGTGGCAAAATATAATTACCATTGAGGCAGGGCAATATCATTTTCTAAAAGCTGAAAAGAGAAAGAAGCCTATGGAGTTAAAAACAGCAGCACAGAAGCAATACAAATAAAAACTGAAGGATCATTAACAGATTTCTTTCTAAAGCACACATAAGGAGACAAGAATGAAAATGGAATTTAAATGGATAGACTGAAACACTATGGTCTAAACTGCACAATACCCTACTTGCAGGTGAATCAATATTTTTTTGGTGGAACTAAAATATAAAATAAGAGGACATATAAAGGGAAGAATGGAGGAAGATGATAAAGGGGAATGTGTGATATACTCTATAAGTCAATAGTAAATAATAAATGGAAAATAATAGAAATAAATGGAAAACTACCCCTGTAGTCTTAGAAGAAGAAGAAGACGGTTTATAGAAAATGAGCGAGAAAACAAGGGAAGGGATTGAAACAGAGGGAGACAAAGGGGGGGGGGTCTTGATTCAGTGGTGGGACGCTGAAGAATGATTGCATGGGGAAAGAGATATCTATAATGTGAGATGGAAACATTATAATAGGTTTAATTAGCAGAATGCTTGCTTAGAGAGACTGCTGCTTGTGAGAAAGGGTTGTTCATCCATTCTTTCTCAGGATAAGGGGAATCAGAACTCCTGGGGGCAACTGACATCCAGAAAGGTAGGAGGACATGGACCCAGAGAGTAGGTTTCATGGCAAATGCAAGAAAAATGATGATTGGGATGGCAGAGGATAATAATTTATTTCCTGCCATCTCCATACTCCTTTAGACTTTTTCAGACTTCACCAAGTCCCCAAGAACCTCACTGGGAAGAATAAGGAAAGTAGGCAACAGGAAGAAGAAAGGAATCAATAAATTAGACAAAACTCCAAAACTAGGGAAAAGAGTGACAAATGGAAAGGAGGAGGGTGGACTTTAGAGTGAGGAAGGTAACCCATGGGAACAGAGTTGCTTTGAGG